ATATTGTTGTACCATGTAGACATATTATTGGGATTGTTTAAAGCAAACACATTAAACATGTCATAAATTCCGAAAAAGAATTGTCTGGAATAATCATTTATATAAAATAAATGTGATACGGAAAGACCGAACCGATGTACGCCGCTGCGGGCGTGTCTCCAAGACTGTCGTGACTTCGAGTGCGGCCGCGCTGGGGCAGAAGCTTCGTCGGGGAGAGCAGCGTCTCCTCGGCTGCCGGTTGTCGATGCTGCGCGTCCCAATTCTTCATGGAGTACCCATCGTTGTCTCCATGTCCACATGCTCGGTCCAGGTGATTTGTACTCCCTCCGTTCCTAAATATAAGTCTTTGTAGAGATTCCACTATAAACTACATACGGATGTATGTAGATGCATTTTAAGTGTGATTCATTCATTTTGCTCCGTATGTAGTTCACCTAGTGGAATCTCTACAAAGACTTACATTTAGGAACGGAGGGAGTATATGCATAAGATCGAACAGAAGATGGACTATTAGATCTCTCATACGAATGAGAAAAGACAACCGAGTTGGTTTCTCCAATTCAATGTCTTGTACGGATGCATGCAAACTGATGCATTCTCGTCATCGCCGTGAACGGCCTGGAGCCCAAAGGCATATCTTCTCTGGATAAGGTTTCCCAGTTCCTGATCCCGTGCGTGCGTGAGTGGTAGCCAAGGAAAATCCGCCGCCGCTGCTCGCGAGGGCTAGCCGGCCAAGTGCTACTCCACTACGCGATGGTTGGAGAGAGGAGCGCCGCGTTTCCAATCGTTCCATTTTTATTTATTTTTTTGAACAGAGAAAGGCACCCGAAGGTACCAATGTATTCAGCTCATAGAACATTTTACAGTCAAGATTACACCATCTGCTAGAATAAAGAGAAAGAAGAACTGCAGATGTAAAGAAAGAAGAGCTGAATAAAGACATATGAGAGAGCAAGGAACAAGATCCTTGCTGAAGAACAGCATGTCCTAAGAAACAAAGGAAGAGAAGGGGAAAAGGAAATTCCAGCTTTGACAGCAATCTCCTTCTTTCCAACAACCGAGCATAGACCATCAGATTTTTCCAGGGACGCGACATCACGCGTCGGGACCGCTGTGCGCCGCGCCGGGAGGGCGTCGGGAGCGCTATGCGCCGAGCGGAGAGGCCTAGAGCCGCCGACGCGCATGGAGCCCGAGGCCAGGTCGACGCCGCCGCCGCTGCGTGCTGTGCCCTCGCGCCACACGCCGGAAGGCGCCCTAGCCCTCCGTGCAATTGCTCTGCCAGAGAGCATGCTGATAATGTGTTAGAGTAAAACGAGATTGAAAACGAAAGGACAATCAGTACCGATTCTATTGATTCTCAAGTATATATACATCTGGAAGAGGTGGGAAGAAGAGGTGCCTGTTCGGAAGCATCCCTTCCGAACAGGTGCCTGTTTACAATAGAAAGAGAGAAGAGACATGACTATTCGGGGTCGGACACACCCATTTGCTAATGACTATTCGTTAATTAACATGTGCTAATTAATCTACTAATTAACTCCTGACAATTAAGAACTTCCATGACGAGCATAAACAACATCGGAGACAACGGGTCGCTTTGGCGGAGTCCTCATCGGTGAAGAAAAGGCCTTGCAGAGTTGTTAAATGGTGATGAGTTGGTCGAACCACTACTACAAAAACTAATGGCGCACTGTACATGTGGTGCGCCATTACTAAATACTAATGGCGCACCATGTGTTGGTGCATCATTAGTGTGTAAATACTAATGGCGCACCATATTCACGGTGCGCCATTAGTAAAAAAAATATTTTTTTTAAAACTACTAATGGCGCATCGTGGGGTGGTGCGCCATTACTAGTTGAACTAGTAATGACGCACCACTCCCACGATGCGCCATTAGTAATTATGTTTCAAAAAAATCAAATTTTTTTAATTTTTATTTTTTAGAGTACTAATGGCGCATCGTGGGAGTGGTGCGTCATTACTAGCTAGTAATGGCGCACCATCCCATGGTGCGCCATTAGTAACTTGGCCACCACTTCTACCGAATGCACCCCCCCCCCTCCGGACCGCCTTTTCAGTTTAAAAAAATGATGGAAATGTCAAAAAAATAAAAGAAAATAAGTTTCCCATGTGATATGTGGTCTAGTTGTTGGGAAAATTTACAAATATAAATTTCGACTTTATTTGCAAAATCTTTCTGGAAATTTGTAAAATTGGCATAACTTTTGCATACGAACTCGGATTAAAAAGTTTTTTATATGAAAAATCATCTACTCGAAAAGTTACGGGGCTTTCAAGATCGAGAGGCAGAAAAAATTCAAAAAATTTCAAACTTACTAGTGGCGCACCATGGATGTGGTGCGCCACTAGTAACAGAAAAAATTGTTTTGAAATTTTTTTTTGAATTTTTTTTCAAAAAATGATACGTAATATGACCGGGAAGTTTGAAATATTTTTCAAAATTTCATCATAATCATGAACATGAACAAAGTCCTAGACATCAATAAGGTATAATAGGATTGATATGCTAGATATATCCATAAGTGCCTGTGAAGTGAGCTGTTGCCGTTGGCGGCGCATGCAGGCGAGCAGCTGGGCGGCGGCGCTGCCGTTGGCGGCGGGGCGGCGCGGCGGCGGGATCTGGCGTCGCCCGCTCGGCCCAAATCTGGGCCCTTCGGGCCCCATCTGGGCCTGGGCGGGCCGGCGGCGGGGATGGTCTCCGGCGTGGCTTCTGGGAGGCGAAGGAGATGCGACGAGCGGCTGGGTGCCGGCGACGACGACGCTGGCCTGCTGCATCGCGGCCGGCGGGGCTTAACGGGCCCGCTTCGGGCCTGGCTGGGCCAGGGGTGGCCCGGCATGCCCCTCTGCCGCGTCCGGACGGCCTCCCGCACGACGGCGGTGGAGGTGGTTCCCTCCCGCTCGACGTCGGTGTTGCTGCTCCCGTCGTGGTGAGCTTCTCTCTGGTCCTCTTGGCCTCATGGTGGTGCTCGTACTGAGGCGGCGTGGGTGGCGGCGGTACTGCGTTTGTGCATGGTGGTGGGCGACGGTTTGGCAGGTACGGTTGGGCGGTTGGGGTTGGAATGCGGGAGAAATCCCTGCCGGCTTCGGCCCCAACGCGGTGACACCTGCGAGTGCCACCATTCCTTCCTGGAGGGTGTCGGTGGTATCCACCCCCCCCACCTCCCTCCGCGTGCCCGGGGAAACCTGAGGACTCGTCCGGGCAGCAGCGTCGTCGGCGTCGCATCCCTTCTTGGAGGTGCTGCTTGGTACGCGGCGGATCGGAGCCTTGGTCTGTGGTGTTTTGTGTCCGGTGGGTGCCGCGGTGGCGGGTCATCCGCGCTTTGCCAAGCTGCCGTGGTTGGCATTTGTTTCTTCTTCTTTTTCTTGGTGTGTTGTGCTGCTCGCCACAGCGTTATGTATACTCGATGTTGGTTGCTTTGGAATACAAAGCGGGGGGAAACCCTTTTTCGGTAAAGTGAGCTGTTGCTGGGGTTGGATAGAACTATGAAGTTAAGCGTGCTTGGGCTGGAGTAGTGTGAGGATGGGTGACCTTTCGGGAAGTTTGACCACGAACTGCGATTTAACCTGAGATTAAGCATATTGACCCGAGATTAAGCCACAGTGACTTGAGATTAAGAAAAAAAAATTAAAAAAATTAAAATAAAAATTTTTGAAAAAAAAATTTGAAAATAAATTGTTACTAATGACGCACCACAGGTGCGTTGTGGTGCGCCATTAGAAAAAAAATCTAATGGCGTGGTGCTAGTGGCGCACCCGTAGTGCGTCATTACTAGCGAAAACAGGTGCGCCACTAGCAGCCCTTTTTCTAGTAGTGAACTTTATGAGTATGGGGAAACATCATCTGAAAATGTTGACCATGGTGGTCAATAAGTTATAGGCATCACTTACAATTGTGGATTAATCGTCAACAATATCAAGATAATTAAACTAGTTTTCAAATAGAGTCTAGATCAAACTATCAATCACATTGTATCTGTTGAATCTCTGGAGCACGCGCCTGTGAGCAATACATCATAATATAGTGTAAATTTCTCTAGTTATGCAGATCAATATTAGGACTGTAATCTAACTATACGATCTATCGCCTTCCAATTATCAACGTGCCTAACACAAGGCCCCAAAGTAAACTCCGTCCAGGGTTCCCAATCCTAGCCGCTAACACCAAAGCTTTCTACATGCCACTGCCTCAATACCCCTCTTCTTCCTTGATCAGCGGCCTAGTCAATGGCAAGAGGAGTGGGGACATGGCCATCTTGTTTTCTTTTTCTTAGGTTTTTTTTCTATGGCAACATGACAAAGTGGTGTCGGCCATGGCATGTTGGAATAAGGTCTCCCGGGCTCTTCCTACCTCGATGACGTTTGACCCTGCAGCGACGAAGGGCATATGTTGACTCCGAATCTTGGCAATTGGTGTGTCTTTTCAGGAGAGCTATTTGATGTTCTAGCCTGGTAGCTGCTAACATATACTCCGTATATCTATATATACTTGGCCAAACTTATGAAAGTTTGACTAAGGCTTCCGAGTAATTTGAAACGGACAAAGTAGGGTGTTTGAAATTCCTTGATTGAAAAATTGCTCAAGAGCCTCTACGGTTGGAGAAGGGGTTCTTTACTCCACCGATATTTTGTCGAAATTGCAAGCAATACCACAACAAAGCTCAGAAACCTTTCGATTTGGAGGGAAAGAAGGACCACATCGCTTCATTCATTTCAAGAAATTGCTACTGAATCTAACTGGCCACAACAGAAACTTATTTCTTAACATGAGAGTGCTCCAGTGGGAGAACGAGCTATGCTCAGTTGGGCCACGGACGAAGAACAGTTGATTAACAACACAAATGCAAAATCAAGAAATGCTCGGGTAGAATTCACGAAACAGAATAGGAAATGGTCGCCCGCCTTCTCCACATGGTCGGATTGGATAGATGCCAGGATGTGCTCCTTCAGTTCGTGTGTACACAGCACAATCTCAACTTTCAACTCTGCATTCCAGAAAACATGAACTTAGCATCAGCAAGTAGCCAAATAGTGATGTCATCAGGAAGTATGTGGGTCACAACAGCCAGCTAGGAGAATGTTCGGATGATCTCGGTTCACATCTGCATACTCCACACACACAAACACTCCCCAGTTCCAAAAGAAGTCAAATAGATTACTGCATGTACGTTGTGGGGTGATATTTGCTCCTTCAAATTCTGGAGTTTCATACATACTTCATCCGATTATATACATCCAGGACTTCTCTTCAGAAACTTCTATTTTTGGTTCGTAAGATAGCTAGCTGGTCATGCCGAGCAGTTTCTCTTCAGAACCTTTTAAGTCTACCTTTCTATTACCTCCGTCCTGAATTACTTGTCTTAGATTTGTCAGATACGGATATATCTAGGGAGTATTGTTTTACCTAATCTTCATTTGGGCCAGAAAATCCACACCATCACAATATTTTATCATCACAGCGCACATTTCAATTGATTTTGGGCCAAATGCATGTAATGAAAAGGCATACTCCCTCTGTCACCTTTTACATGGTGTCCTTGTTTTGCATGATTTAACTGTGCTTCAGAAACAATGTCTTATACTCCGTATGTCATAAAGATTATACCATTGGAAACTTTGTTCAAACACGAATCTGATAAAACAATTTTTGTGGAACATAACCCATGTCTGGTTAGTCAATTAATGGTCAAAATTGAGTTTTGAAATGCAAGTGTAAGGAGTATATTGTTGTCCAATTACCATTTTTGGTGTACTCCAGCACTAATGAGATCTGGATATCATGCTAAAAAAAAGATATCTGGATAGTTCGATAAGAACGTGTGGTCGAGAATCCAAATCAGGACTGGTGGACATCAAATATCATGACACTTAGTATGTCTTCACGTCAACTCTCCACAAATTTGGCTGAGACTCACTTCCCAACATCCAATTTTATAATTTGAATGGATAAAAAAATGTATGACAAATATGTTTGCCTAGCACAAAAATGCATTAGGAAAGATATCTATGTACGCCAATGTAACCCACAAATATATTGCTTGACATGCTACTTTTTCAACAAAATATACTACTCCCTCCGTCCGAAAATAAGTGTCTCAACTCTAGTACAACTTTGTACTGAAGTTAGTACAAAGTTGGGACACTTATTTTGGGACAGCGGGAGTATTACAAACCAGTACAAAAAACAAAAACAGAATAATATAAGATAATGCACCAAACATGTGTATCTTTTGATGAAGGAGGCCGGAAGAGTGTTTGCTTCCATTACCTAAACAGTGTCTCGGCCATATAATATCCCAAAAATGCATAACAAAAAATTACATGAGGTCTGGTAATGCCAAAATGAATGGTGAGATTGCGTGTAATCCTTGAAATGCAGATGCAGCAGATCTGACAACATTGTGCAAGCTGTGAAGTCAGTGGGAGTACCCAACTACACATGATGATGGCCCCATCGGTGGCATGAGTCATGTGACCGGGTCAGGCTGTGAGAGGGTCAGGGTGGCCTGATCAGGCAGAAATGGTCCATCGTTATTGCTGTGGCATTACAGTCGTTCATCGTTGGCCCTGCCCAGTCATGGGTTAAGGTTTTTGGTTAGATGAGAGGGCTGTAAACTGGCGAGGGTAGGATGGGCAGGTGGAGGATAACACGTTCAGTGAGTGGCTTGTCAATCTAGAATCTCCTTTCGCGATGTCCAGATGTCATGATTGCACGAGTACATCTAAGGTAGTGATTGCACACAACACATCAAGTTTAAAACAGATTGATTTCAAGCATACTGATATGCGACGAGTTAAGAGAGAGAGGCAATACCTTTGATGAGTCCATTAAATTCCTTCCCAAGTTACCAATATCATCTCCGAAGTCAACAACACCTTCAGTATGCTCCTCCTTATTCTCTGTAGCAGCTTCTTCCTGCATGCCAAAGTTACAATAAGCAGAAGAAAACAATCATGTTATGAAAATGGGAAGGTTACAGACACACCATCTTTGATGAATTGTTTTCTAGTCTGACATTACAAGTGCCCCCCATATCATCTGCACTCTTACCATGCTCCTGTTTATTGCCAATATCACCTTCCTGCATTGTGCAAGAAAGAACTAAACCACATGTGATCAGTTTGTAAGAGGAACTGGCATGCAAATCTCTGCACCAGTTGGACTGTTTCATACAGATAGTTTTGTTCGTATTTACATGAGCAAAATAAGCACATCTTACCTCTAAAACACTAATAGAACAAAAGAATAAGCTTGCAAGAAGGTTTCTCATTTCTCTTGGCTTAAAATTAGTGCAGCTGCAGTCTCTAGCTAGCTTTGCAATCAAATGTAATTACATGTGTAGATTAATAATAGTCTTGTCAAAGATGCCATTAAATAAATATTCCTGTTCTCAGTCTTACTATAAGTATGAGAAGCCAATATCAGTACTGACCTCCTGGACAGCTTTACATAGCTCCTTAGGTGTGTCTTTGGAGTTCAGTGGGTCTGTATCGTTCATATCTTTGGAGCTCAGTGGGTCTATATCATTTGTATCACCGTGCATAAGATAGTGAAGTTACTGCCTTTAATTCCAAGTATATAATACCGCAGATACAAGAATTACCCCTAAACCATCAATTTTATCATACTGGAGTTTTAGCCTTTATATGGCTAATTATCATTGATACAGACCTTTTCAGCAATTCCTCTACTATTCCCTTGCTCATGAACCTCTCCATCATTGTTATTACTTGGAGGGCAGATCTTCCCTTTATCAACATCCTCCTGAAAGCCACAACCAAATTAGATCATAACCAAGCAACAATTTCATCATCAATCAGTAATCATTTAAAACGTTCCAGACCATTGCCGCATCCCCATCACTCAAGGGGCGGTCATTCATCATACTATCAACATCCTCCTCAATCAACAACCAAATTAGAATAACAAACAGTATTCTCGTGATCTCGTCAGTGATGAATAAACACTCGACAACTTTGCACGCCATCATTACCTTCCTGTCATCATTCAAGGAGCCCATCTTCTCCAAACCAACATCCTCCTGAAATCAATAACTAAACCAGATTAACTGACCAGCAATGTCACCAACCATCAACAACCACCATTTTAATGTAACAAGGTACACACCTTCGCTGCATCCTTGTGACCATTCTGCCCAGCATCAGCATTGTCCTGCGACAAACAATTAAATCAGACCAAGTACGAGGACAGTATCGTCAGTGAGCGACCTGCAGAAACAAATGGGCTGAGAAACCTTTGCCTCGTGAGTGGCGGCGGCCGCAGCGGCGCTTGCGCCCTCCCTGGCAAGGAGCGCCTGGCCCAGCCTGCGGCGGGGGTCGATGACGATGCCTGGCAGCCGCTTGACGTCCCAGCCGAGGACGCGGCAGACTGCGGCGGCGAGCGCGCGGTGCGCCTGCGGCCTCCCGACGCGTGTGGCGGCGTGTGCGTGCCGCACGAGGCTGATGCAGTCCCGGAACCGCCTGGCCCGGCCCTTCTTCACATTCCTCCCCACGCACGCCATGCACACGAACTCCCCCTCCCTGTGGCTCCGCTCGTAGTAGCCCCGCAGCGCGGCGTCCCGCTCGAAGAGCCCGAGGAAGAACCCCGCCACCTCGTCCCAGCTGTCTTCCGACTCGGGCCCCTCAACCTCGTTGCAGTCCTCGCCCGAGGCGCCGCGCCTGGAGAAGAACTCCTCGGCGGCGCGGAGGGCGTCCCGCTGCGCGAGAGAGGCGGTGGAAGGCTGCTGCTGCGGCCTGGGCGCGGGGGAGACGGGAGTGGAGTTGGGCCAGGAGGAGGGGGCCGTGGGGGCGGGCGCGAGGGACCAGTCGGGGCCGCCGTATTCGGCCTCGGCGGCGCGCTCGATCCTGCGTCGCTTCCGCTGGTCGGCGCGGGCGCGGGTGGCGCGGGAGACTCCGGCGGGTGGCGCGGGATCCCCGGCGGGGGCGGACGGGCCGCTGCGGCAGAGGGAGTGGAGGTAGACCACCTCCTCGAAGCGGCGCTCCTCGTCCGCGTCGTAGTGCGGGGGCGAGGCGGCGGCGCGCGCTGCCGCCTGGCCTCCCTCGCAGGCGACCGCGCGCCGTTCCCGGCTTTGGCGCGTCATCGGAGGCGGCGGCGATTCCTCCTGGCGAGCGGGGGATTCGAGCTAGGGGAGGGAGAAGAAGAGAAAGGGGCGGCGGCGGCGGCGGCGGGCGCGACTGCGTGTCTATTTTGGTTGCGGGAGAGGAGCCCAGGCGGTTGGGCCGCCAACCTCTAGTATATACTGCAGTACCACGAAAATTCATCACATAATATATCATTTTTCAAGCTGCTGAGTATTTACTTCTACTAGAAAAACGCCCGTGCGTTGCCACGGGCTTTTTAATTTTTTTAATCTAATTGCATATATATTCCCTATATTGTTGTATAAAACTTCGTGAATTTTTGGCTTCCAAGGACATTACCTTGGGTCCCTTGTATTCTTTTTTAACATCAACATTAGTCATGTTTATCTCTCTCATACTATGCCAAAAAAAAAATATAGAGAAATATACACTTTTTGTAGTATCATGTGTGACATATATATAGATAAAAATAGTTATTTGTATGTATCCCTTCTGATTATGTAAAATTCGATGAGTATTCAGTCCCATCCATCATAGTTAGTAGTGACTTTGTCAATTGACATTTTCAAAGCATCATCGAAAGCAATTAGCTTTTATTTCTAATCTACAAAGGTGAACATATAAACAGATTTAATACAACTTTGTACTAATTTTGTATTAAATCAACGATCCTTATTTTGGGATGGAGGGAGCACTAAAATTTTAAATTAAAATAAGCTCATATGCGTTACGTAATCATTGATCAACACTTTTTAGCCGAAGTGAGTTGCATCGTTCTTTTCATGGACTGAGTCGCATTCCAATTTTAATAAATTTTAGGCTAACTTATAAACCACTTTTGGTAATTATTCTTTAGAAATAACTTGTTAGGCTATGTGATATTTGTCATTATATAGAAAAAAACATGTGACATTTCTCTCATAGCAAACCGTCGCTTTTCCCTCTGAAAAAAGGCAAACACCGCTCATTTTCCTCCTACCTTAAAAAACAATTCACTCTCTCGCACACGCTTCACAACACAATGCTCACACTCACGTCTCACTCTCCTGGCCTGCTGTCCCCGTCACAGCTTCTCACTGTCACCTCCCCTCGACACCATATCATTCTGCCCTCTCACTGCCGTCTTCTCTACCCTCCACGGTGTCCCTTGCATTGCTACGAGCTTATGGGGGAATACCATCTTGTAATCTTTAAAATTATGTCAATTTGTTCTTGTACTTCTACATTGACACATATCATGCATGCTTTGAACTTATAATTTTGATCTACCCACGTGCTCCATTGCCTGCCAATGTTAAATAATCATATAAAAGGAAAGAGAATAAAAGTAAAAGTGAGTCTACAAAAATTAGGAAGAAAAGAGGTCGTCTAATCAAGGTCCCCGTCACCGTCCTACTCCTACTGGCCAATGCACGAATCTGGTTGCTGGTTGTATGTGCCCGGTTGCGTACCCGGCTGCTAGGCGTGCACCACTGGCTCCGAGTCATCCACTGCCCCGTCCTTTTAGCCTCCTTCCCCGCCTTTGTCATGAATCATCTCCAATAGTTGTCTATCCACGTCGTCATATGTCGTCTCACCCGATTGAGACATATCCATGAACAAAGAGCGGTCACAGAGGTGATCCACTCCCGATGTTTGCGACCAGTCGAGTTGCGGTGATGCCAATCAACGAAATGAGGTGGTGCGATGTTGATGTCAATGCAATATGGCACGTGCCCGACAGCGATGGCCGAGGATTACCGACCGATTTGCTTGGTGACGTTTAAGTAGCGTGGCTGATATTGCTTTGGCCAGGGAGTGTGCATGGAAGGCGATGACGGCGGCGGCACCCCTCGTTCGAGGCCCCAACTGACACCTGCACCGCGTCCACGATCCTGCCCGCCTCCCGAGACACCCTTCTTTTTGCCGGTTGCCCCTCCTCTGCCTTCGCTTTGAGGCGGCAGGCTTGCCGTGTCGTTGAGTTGATCTTCTGGGCGGCCACCTCCGCAGCTGCCACAAATATAGCTACTATTGTACTGGTTACTCTTTAAGATAAGCTACTTGAGTTCAGACACATGCATTAAATAATAGGGCTAATGATAGGAGCTTTCTTCTTTGACCTTATCAACCGGATGTTCCTTTTTGGCTGCATCCAAAAGATAGTAATGAAAGGGTGTCTTGAAGTTAGACTATAAGTAATGGTGACATGTAATGGTCTGAGAAATTGATTCAAATAAAATGTCTGAAAACATCATATGGCATGGTCATATTTATATTTTCTAGCATGCAGATGGACAAATTCAGCGTATCAATATAAAATATGAATCAACATGTTAAAAGCATATCAAGGGAGCAGTGAGTTGGCGGCTCTTGTCCTCTTATTCCATCTTTCTGCATTTTTATTAGCCTTTGAATACACCAGTCTTTGCAGATAAGCCTTTTTTGTGTGATGGGCGGCTGCATTAATATTTTGTCAAGTATACTTGGTGACACATATTGAACTACATAGTTCTTGTTTGTTTCATGTCACCTTTTTAAATATATCTAACAGTAAGATTTTCAAGATCCACTCCCATCATAGACCCGCGTTAAGGGTGGAGGACCTCTACCTGGTGCACAACACTGAGCACGTCAGTGGTGAGTCGGGTAGGAGAGGGCAAGCCAGGCTGGCCGGGGAAGGAAACGCGATGTGGTGATGGTGCCACCGCAATTGGTCCTGGTAGTTAAATTTGCGGTCAAAGTTGAAGCACGAGGATAGAGGAAGCACTACATTGTGGAATGGAGGGAGTACTGGTTACTCTTTAAGATAAGCTACTTGAGTTCAGACACATGCATTAAATAATAGGGCTAATGATAGGAGCTTTCTTCTTTGACCTTATCAACCGGATGTTCCTTTTTGGCTGCATCCAAAAGATAGTAATGAAAGGGTGTCTAGAAGTTAGACTATAAGTAATGGTGACATGTAATGGTCTGAGAAATTGATTCAAATAAAGTGTCTGAAAACATCATATGTCATGGTCATATTTATATTTTCTAGCATGCAGATGGACAAATTCAGCGTATCAATATAAAATATGAATCAACATGTTAAAGGCATATCAAGGGAGCAGTGAGTTGGCGGCTCTTGTCCTCTTATTCCATCTTTCTGCATTTTTATTAGCCTTTGAATACACCAGTCTTTGCAGATAAGCCTTTTTTGTGTGATGGGCGGCTGCATTAATATTTTGTCAAGTATACTTGGTGACACATATTGAACTACATAGTTCTTGTTTGTTTCATGTCACCTTTTTAAATATATCTAACAGTAAGATTTTCAAGATCCACTCCCAGCATAGACCCGCGTTAAGGGTGGAGGACCTCTACCTGGTGCACAACACTGAGCACGTCAGTGGTGAGTCGGGTAGGAGAGGGCAAGCCAGGCTGGCCGGGGAAGGAAACGCGATGTGGTGATGGTGCCACCGCAATCGGTCCTGGTAGTTAAATTTGCGGTCAAAGTTGAAGCACGAGGATAGAGGAAGCACTACATTGTGGAATGGAGGGAGTACTGGTTACTCTTTAAGATAAGCTACTTGAGTTCAGACACATGCATTAAATAATAGGGCTAATGATAGGAGCTTTCTTCTTTGACCTTATCAACCGGATGTTCCTTTTTGGCTGCATCCAAAAGATAGTAATGAAAGGGTGTCTAGAAGTTAGACTATAAGTAATGGTGACATGTAATGGTCTGAGAAATTGATTCAAATAAAGTGTCTGAAAACATCATATGTCATGGTCATATTTATATTTTCTAGCATGCAGATGGACAAATTCAGCGTATCAATATAAAATATGAATCAACATGTTAAAGGCATATCAAGGGAGCAGTGAGTTGGCGGCTCTTGTCCTCTTATTCCATCTTTCTGCATTTTTATTAGCCTTTGAATACACCAGTCTTTGCAGATAAGCCTTTTTTGTGTGATGAGCGGCTGCATTAATATTTTGTCAGGTATACTTGGTGACACATATTGAACTACATAGTTCTTGTTTGTTTCATGTCACCTTTTTAAATATATCTAACAGTAAGATTTTCAAGATCCACTCCCAGCATAGACCCGCGTTAAGGGTGGGGGACCTCTACCTGGTGCACAACACTGAGCACGTCAGTGGTGAGTCGGGTAGGAGAGGAAACGCGATGTGGTGATGGTGCCGGGGAGTGTGACCAATTTACTAAACCAAATAAAACACTTAAGCATTAGGGCAAAAGCCATTGCTTCCTTCTAACCACCTGGCACCGAGGGATCAGGCACAAACTTATTGCTTCCTTCTGACCACCTAGCACTGATGAATCAGACACAGAAGCAGCAACAAGGATAATACTTATCTGTACTTACAATCTGTATGCCCACAGAGTGATTTCATGCATAAGGTGAATGCATTAATTTTTTTAAAGGTTGCCTTAGTTCGGATTTTTCTAGCTCAGGATGATGTTCATATATTTCCGACGAATGAAAAATATCTGTAGCATTCGACAATACACCTTTTCTTTGTCATCTGGTTCATCTAATTTTATATCACCTGATTCTTCGAAAACAAATGGTACGATGCAGCTGGGAATGGAAAGATAAACTTTTTTTGTAGCAAACTTATTAAACAACTTGTCAGCATGAAATGGAAGTGTGGTATATGTGAAATTAAATACAAAAGGAGCACATAATTCGTGCTTATATTTTCTTTGTTGTGATATCCACGTTGTTATTTTTTTAGAACGAAGACACCGGAGGCGTGCGGCTTTAAATTAATAAAGCCCACATAAGGCAGAATCCAACAAGTTCAACACAGTACAGCATAAAGAAAAACGGCCGCAACCAAGGTGCGTTACATGCTACCGGCCGAAGCCTGCAAGGGAATGAAAGAAAGTAGCAACAGCGTGCAGGCAGCCAGTCCAAAAGATCACATCCAACGGCAAGCTAGTGGCGGGCACCATTCTGGATCAACCGTATCCGCTCCATAGCCTCCGTCATCCGGTCCGCATCACGCCGTT